GAAAGTCCTTGCTTTTCTTTTTAAAGTATTACTTTTATAAGTAAGATTTATAATTATTATTAAATAATTTGTAATATATATATGATATAATTTATCTACTATAAGAAATCAATAAACCAATCAACTAAAGATACAAATTAAACAAAATTGACATAAAATGGAGACAATATGAGATCTAAAAACTTGGAATCGAAAATTTTCAAAATTTTTTCTTTATCACTGAGAGAAAGCCAAATTTATGGACCAGACGCAGGACTTCATGGTGCACGATGTTTAAGTTATTTAAGTTAGGTTATATTAATAAACTATTCAATTTTCTTTTATATTTTTAAATATATTTTGAAAATTATAATTTAATTCTCGAAATTTATTTACCAAAAAAATGGAAGCAATTCTGTTGCTTTTAAAAGTGCCGCTGCGGCATATTAGGCTTCAGCATCAATTCTCGTACTTATTCTAGCCAAGGAAGTTTAAAGATAAATATGAATAGTTGCATACACTTACTAATTCAATGTCAATCAATAATCTGCTTTCTTTTTTTATTTTTTTGATCTGAAATATTGTTGGTACAAAAATTATGATGTATATATTTCCAATTCAATAAATCTCAATTTATTTACAAGAATCTAATGTGTTTAAATTAGGAAATTGTGATTGGATTTACTGCTTTATTATCTTGGATTTCCTGTTGATGTTGTTGGTATTTATTTGGTGTGATGGTTGATGACTTTTTACACCCTGTTTTGGATGTGGCTTTAATTTAACTTTGATGCTTTTAATTTTATGTTTTAGGTGTAGTTTCAATCTGATTCTAATGCTAATTGTTTTTTTTTTAATTTTGCTTTGTTTTGTAAGATGTTTAAAAAATCATTTATGTAGATACCGGTATATTTACTTTTGATTTGTTTAATTTTAACATCAATTTGATTTTATATTAATTTTTATACTTATTAAAATAAATCTATTTGGTCAAGAAAGTGATCAAATTGTTTTGGTATATATAATAGTAATCTAGGACGAAACTAATTAATTTTCATTGAAGATCAAAGATGAATAAGAATAATGTATAAAATATAAATAATTAAGTACGATGTATAAAATTAATAATTTTTTTTATATAATCAATATTGTTTAAAGATTAAATATTTTAACTTTTTGTAATTTCACACTGAAAAGACAAAAAAGAAGAGAAAGACAAAAAGAAAGAGATGAAAAGAGATAAGAAGAAACTTATAAAAGAGATGAGAAAAATTTAAGAGTTAAGAGGAAAGTTAAATGAATTTGTAGAGTTATTTTATTATTTTATATTTATATTAATAATTTAATAATTATTATTTTAAAGATCTATTAAAATATATATAATATATATATTTAAATTTTTTGGAAGGGAACGCTCCACCCCCGATAGTGATAATATTTTGCATAATATAATTAAGAACAACAAAATAGAGAAATGGTTTTTTTCCAAAAAAAAGAAAAAACCACAAAGTAGAGAAATGGTAAATAGAGCGACGGAAAGGCAAAAAGGGGTCGTTGTTGCCAAGCACAACTTGCATGTGAACAAGTATCTAAAATATGTTTACTAATATAATAACAATTCGTGCCTAAACTTAACATTCCTATACACCCAAAGTTGAACAGTTTCATATCCAAATCCAGGAATGGGAATAGATTGGGACAATGGCAATGTTTCCGACCTTTCTTTTTATCATCATTTCATTGCCTTGTAAGAGGGATTTGTTCAGGCGCATATCATCACTCCATCACTGTGACAATATGGAAAAGGAGTCTCTATAATCATCCCATTTCTAGTCATGCTTTAATTTGGATGATTCATTTCCAAAAACCAAAACATCTTTACCTTTGATACATACATTATGATCTCAAAGATAACAAAGGAAATGAACAGAAGTTGAGCCTCTCCCTCTCCCTCAAAAGTAATTGTATATAAAATTGCTATGAAGAATAATAATGAAACATAAATACTAGGGATATTTCTTATTGCTATACCTACCATAACAAGAAAACAAATTTTCATTTTGGCTTTCACTCTAGAGGTGTTTTTATTTATAAACCCAAAAATCATTTCATCTCTTCTTGATGTGAGATCAATGACACATGTATAAATTAAGATTTTATTTATAATGAAAGATATTTGTTACATTAACTTTTAGATATATTAAATAAAATTTGTAATCCTTTATTAAAAATTTTAACTTAATTCGAATAAAACAATCGAACTTACTAGTCTAAATGAGTAATTTGACTCTTGAACTAGTCTAATCCACTTTAATTTACAAATAAAATTTATCAAAAATCATACTCTTAAAGGTGAGGAACCTTAGAGATAATGTATATACAATTATCCAAAAATGGTCACAACTATTTTTTTTAATGAAATTAATATCATTTTATACAACAACAAAAAGGATTTTAAATTTCATAATTAAATATGCTTATAAAATGATCACATGGTTATTAAATGACAATCAAAACATAAATAAATGGATGCATGTGTCAGCCAATAAAGAAGGTAATACTAATTATTATTATCAGTAATGCTAATAGGGCGAGAGAATGAGTCTAGGGCAAAGCCTGAATTTTTGGCGTGGGGTCGGAATTAGAATGATATATATGTTTAATTAAAATTCAAATAGGTTACAATAGTAAAGAGAATATTTTGACTAAAAATATATAGTAAAAAGCATACCAAAATCAAATCAAATGAAATAAGTAATAATTAATTGCTTAATTAAACTGTATAAATACTTTTTGGTAACTAAAAAATAAATTTGAAAAACCGTTTATATTTAAAAATTAAATGTTAAACAAAGTTGCAAACCTTGTAAACAACTAAAAAAGTGATTTATAAAAAATTTAAAAAAAATAGAAGAAAGAAAAGTTGTATGCATAATTGGTTTTTTATGCAAAATATAACAACTAAAAATTATTAACTAATGTATTTTCTTATATTCCTCTTGATTCAATAATAATATAATATCAAGAATATTTAATTCATTGAAAAGTTAACATTACAAGAAAACAAGTATCTCGACGGGATTGATCCTATTACTTTTACTCATGGATTTTGAATTGATTTTTGACCAGATTTATTTTTTATTTTTCAAATAATTATTAAAATATATAAAAAATTATTTCTCTCATTCGAATATTTATTTACGTCTACGGGTATTTTTTTTTTGGTAATTTTATTAGAAAAACTCCAATAGCCTAACTCTTTATGAGAATAAAATTTATACACAAGGTGTTAATTGAAAAAAAAATCACAAAATATCATAAGAGAAAATTTGAAATCATAAAAAATATAAGTGAAGTTTATCTTAAAAAAACAAAAGAAAGAAACTCCAACGTACAAACTCCGCTTAGTCGCTAATTTAAGGGAGCTGTAATCAACGAACAATGAGTTATAAAACTCATGTATCAACGTAAAGCTGTAATCAATCAAATAAAGGGTTACAAGACTAGGATTAATGTTTTTGTTTTTCGCCTGAATAATAACAACAAAACACACAGGACTATTCTCTGTTGCTTTATATCAGCCTAAACCTGAGTTAATAAAGATAATTTTCCCTAGAATTGTCCCACAACTAATTTACATATGCTAAGAAATTACATTCGTATAAAGAAAGAGGTGCAGTTTCATCATATACTATATAGAAGCCCATACACTTCAAGTTGTGAAAACTAGCGTTGAGAAAGAAATATAATATACCTAATTAATGGAGCTAGCAGCTGCTATAATCCATGGTAGCTAGAGTTAATATCAGATCCATAATCCAATATGCAGGCACATATGCACACAAAAGTATCCAAAGACCGGAGAAAATAAAGAATTAGGAGCTCCCTTCAGTCCAAAGCAACATCAAGAAGAGCTTAGATAGGCCACAAGACCAAAATCTTGAAGCTGTTTTAGGCTGAAAGGAGCCCCCACTTCTAGTTATTTCTCATCCCCTCAAGCAAGAAAGACACAGAGAGAGAGAGAGAGAGAGAGGGAGAAGGATTTGCATATACATTCTTTGGCGAAGGAATAGTTGGAGTAGCTGGGGTTGGAGTTAAAGGGCTATAGACAGAAATTAGTGGAGTTCTGCCATAGCTAGCTAGCTAGTTACACTCTCTTTCAGTGCGCAATAAGTGTTTCTTGGGGTGAGAATGGTGTTAGCCTTTTGAGGGAAGTGAGTTCGACAGGGATGGAACCATGGGAGTAATTAATGGATCACAAATTGGTTTAGGTAGGCTCAAACTTTTCTAACTTGATGGCTAATTGAACAGATTGTACAAAGTAGGAAAGTACAGTAGCTAGTTAAACTTGTTCTTGGGTCATAACTCCATGTTTGGTAGGAAATATTTAGCAGTCGAAAAGATGAAAAACTTGTCGACAAAAAGACTAAGTTAATCATCTAAGCTCTTTCATTTTAGATAACTAACTATTGTGTAAAACAAGTTCTCATCATTCTTACTAATTAGACACAATTTTAATGTTTTGGTTCATGTCAACAAGTATAAACATCCAGGCAATGAAGTTACCCTCAGTGAAAATTGAGAAAAAGGGGACTCAAAACGAAAAAGAGTGACATGCTCAGGTAGGTTAGAAATTTGCTAATGTAAGCCTTACTTGCTGCAAGATGGAGCTGTTTTTCTTTAGTACAGAAAGTGGTCCCGAAAGCGAATGGCAAGCTTTCAACTTTGAACAAACAATCCTTTAAAACCCTTGAGAATTGAATGGTCCCTTTCTTCTAAACTGGGAACTTCAACCCCTACTTCATTCCTACTTTTTCCTCATCAAGTATTGGACGTCGAACCGCTTGCTTTCCTACCACACCTCTTATCTTTTTCTTATCTTCGCAGGAAGGAAAGTCATCTTTCACAGCCAACGTGGTGGAAATTGGATTTTTTCCTACCTTTCACTTGGATTTTCCTTAATTTCAAAGTACCCTTGGAAAATTCCACAAGAAAAATCTGACAGAAGGGTTTAACGCCATTGTTCCATTTTCTACAATTTCAGGCCTGAATATATATATATATATATATATATATATATATTGGGTAGAAATTTGTATGCGATTCTGGCTAATGCCATTAATGCCTAAGACTTGCGGGGGAAAATTTTCTTTTATAAGCTCCACGCAAACCTATTTGCGGCAGTGAGTTGAAAACAAGGACCCTTATGTGTGGTTAGCAATACTAGTGGATTAAGACAAAAGTGTGGCTTAAATTTCTGAAGAAACAGAGTTACGTATCCTTGTCAAATTGGAACATTGAGATTCAAAGCCAAACATAACTAATTACTTGTTTTCTTTTTCTCCGAATCCTTGGTTTTATTTTAGATTAATTGGAAACTTTGATGGTGCTACTTGGTAGCTCTTGATTCAAGCCCTCCTAGAAGTTTGATCCTTTGAGTTTCGTCTTAGCATATATTTAAGATATCTTTTTATTTTTATTTTACTAGTATACGTAATAGTTGCATTAACAATGCTAATACAAGGACTTGGTTTGCTCGAACTTTGTCTGATTTGAAAAGAAAAGGAAAATGTCCTTGAAATCTATGCCTTCATATAAAAAGATTTGGTCTTTGGCTAACATTTGGCAAGAGGATTTTTTCCAGATGAATTTACACGGTTAAAACTTATAAACAAGAAAGTTAAGGGATGAAATTAGTATAGCATAATTCAGATAGTTATGATAGAGATGTAAGCTCCAATACTAACTATATAATGCTGACCACATTTGTATTGTCAGTTATTCATCCAAAGATACTAGGAACTTACAAGAATGATATAATATTTGAGGTAACTTAGAAGTTACTGTCATACCATTGAGGTATGTTAAAGAATTTTTCAACTAAATGAATACATAAAATATGGTTTGTCAAGAAAATTAAATGGGGAATTAAGGAAAATGCGTAGGGGGAAGCAGAGAACCCAATGACGACAAATGCCGAATATCTGTTAACCTGAGACTAAGCTTTGTGCTTTTTTGACTTGGATTTTGGTAACTTTGGGACTTCAGGAAAAGGTTTATCTTCACGAGACAATTTGCCAAATACTTTAACGAGAGAAGATGGATCCATGGCTGGGGTTGACATGCTACGAGGGCAAGCGTTGGGCACTGTGGTTGAGCTGCTGCGCGCTCTGGTGCTCTGGCATGGCCTTAGCTGATCCCTGTAATGCACCGTGCCGTCTTCCCCCAGCACGTACAAGTCATCCCAGACCAAACCTGATGACCCTTCCCTCCTGAACGAAACTGCAGACCTTTGCAAAGTTGCCATGTTTTTCTCAACTCTATTGGAGGTTGTGCAATAAGAGACAGAATCTCTGCTGCTTCAGGCTTGTATATAGGGAGGGGGAAGACAGAAGAATTTGAAGGGGAGAATGAAGGAAACGGGTTAATGGATGGAATCTGAGAAGATGGATAGTATATTTTAACCATGCATAACATACTTCTGTTTTTATCTTTTATTTGATTTGACCATGTTGGTTCTGCTGAAGGTTGTTCTGTTAAACTTGTGGTAAAATATAAGGAATTTTGTGACATACTAATGTAGTTTTGGGTATGGAATTTTGTTAATTGAGGTCGTTCTGATACTAACTTGGACCGCTATCAGTATCTTTTATGATGGTGTTATTGTTGTCTTCTCTTTTCGTAAGTATGTGAATATAAATATATATATATATATGTATGTAAAACGTTATGTCACATCTCGCCTAGTGGAAGGTGAGATTTTGGTTCAATCCTAGTGAACAAACAATTGGTCAAATGGAAATTCACGAGGTCTCAAAAGTGACTGCATCTTGCGTCCTATGGGACCAAAACTCCCCAGAGTGCACGACTTGGAAACGTCGGCATTTGGCCGAAACTGGGTTGTTAATCATAGCAGAGCGCTTATGGTAAAATTCTTGCAGCGCCAAGGAGCGCATTGACATCCTAGGCTATGCGAACTGAGTCTTGAAAGTGATATAAGCCTGTTCAGATGAACATATTGCGTAAAAATTGAAAGAAGAGATGCATAGAGATTAGAGCCTCCTGGATTTGAAATGTTTCGGCAATGAGTTTGCTCTTTCGCTGTCTCACTTCACTTATGCAGTAGGAGTAGGGTACTAGTGTTTATTATTATTATTATTTTCTCTTTCTTTCGCATACCAGCTGAGCTTAGAAATTCCTGTTTCTCTTCCCTTTCCAAAAACTTCTATGTAATTCTTGTATGGAGTGTGGTCACATCAGAATGCCACCACAGGAACTTGAATGTAAGATGCATAGATTTTCAACTGCTACCTTATCCTTGTCTTAAAATTACTTATAAACTGTACAAGGCCCTAAACTGTCATCAATATCCCCTACTCAACTCTGGCAGAACAAAAAAAAAAAAAAAACTTTCCCTGAGAACTGAAGGTGGAGCATCGAATCAACTTCATTGCTCAAGGTATGCCACTCGGACACAGCTCAAGTGGTAAAGTAGGATTGGGACTAAAAGATATGGTTAAATGCGAGTCATGGTAGTTTTGCTTACCTACATTAGATAAAATAGATTGAAACATTTGCGTGGAAGAAAAAATGAATTAAAGATCAACTCAACTGGTGCAAAGACAACAGAAGAAGATATGTCAAAATATGAGAAAATTGTAAGATTAAAAAGGATAAAGAACTTTCATAAAGTAACACATTAGAAAGTAAAAATCAATTAAATAATTTTATGATCTGATTCCAATCCCTTCACAGTTTAAATAAATCCCTAAAGAACACCACTTTATGTTAACCCCTATATTTTGCAACTAGTACTGGGATGAACCTATCCATTAGATGTCAATGAATTTCATGAAACCTCCATTCTCCTGATAAGTCAGTTCTATACTATTCATTTTTAAGCAATGGATATCCAAATGCTTATTTATTAAAATAGTTAAAGTTCCAATATAAAAACTCATTCAAATATCAGACAACCTGGTACTAGATCATAGTAAGTCTTCACTAACCAAATCCACCTTGCTTGAAATGGCCAGTGTGGGGCTCTTGAATGACACAAAGATTATTTACATTTTATGGAGTATAAACATAAAGTTGCACAAGAAACAAACACATTATGGGAGCTTTGACTACTATACTGTTACATCCAGTCACTTTTGATGAGTCTAAGAAGCACACAAAAAGGCACGAAATATACCGAGTGTTTCAATTGGAGAAGACTGTTTCCGAAACAGACCTCTGGTATGGCTGGTGATGCTCTGGAATTCCATCCTCATTGCGCTTATCCTCAAACCATTTTACAACTTTTTTTCGGGGCAAATTTGTTACTTGCACGATGCTGCTAATCATTGCATTCTGCATTGTTCATAAAAAACATGCACATGTAAGATGACGTGCCAGCGTGCAATTTTTTAATGACAAACAGGCATGAAAAATACAGCACCATCTCTGTAATTTAACCATGTCAAAATCAAACATGAATCCAGCAATCAGGCAGCTAAATGTAGATAGAAATAAGCATCATCATACTTAACATGGATGGCTTCTAAAGAGACATCGTACTCATATATTGAATTCGATCTTATTAGTAGAAAGAGAAAGTGGAAATTGCTCAAACACAATAATGTTTTAAACTTCCAAAAGCAACAAATTTAATTCCCCCAGTTAAAAAGTACCACTTTGAGTCTTTTATAAATAACTTGATAGTAGAACTACCAAAGATGGTCATAAAGGATACTTATATAGAAAGAATACTTTTCAACAATATGACTTCCAAAATCAACTCTAATCCTTGAATAATATTTGCATGAAATCATCCAATTTTCACCACCAATATACAGGGTTTATGATAAATTGTCCAGATTCTCACTACCAAAGACTTGTACAATAGATAGTTACAGCAAATACCAAAAATTGCTTAGGTATAAAATAACATAAAGAAGTGGTAAGTTACAGATACAATTAATCTTAAAGTGCATAAACTTTACTTACAGTTGGCCGCTTTGATCTTCTATAAACTTTTTCAAGGGTTTCAACTTGCACTTTCTTAAGTCTCTTTTGGGCAGACCATCTGTGTTGCATCACATGGACTGGCTCTTTCACCTTAGGCTCCTTGGGCTCATGTTTCACGCTACCCACTGTGGTCTCTAGAGCAACAGTTTCTACAGGTTTGGTTTCAAGCACCGGTTCCCTCTTGACAGGTTCATCAGGTAAAGTAGCACTCAACATAAGAAGCTCCGGAGGAGGTTCACGGAGCAATTCGAGAACCACATGCCTATCAAGACAAAGCTCTGTAGCAAGACTCTTAATCTACAAAAGAAAAAAAAAAAAATCAATGCTGGTGACCAAATTCTATGAAAGGAGACAATTCTTTTTAATGCCAATATTCATAAGGCCTCCATAGCTCTTTAAGTATCAGCAAATTCATGAGGCTACTATTCAAGAAAAAAAAATAAAACAATTCTTTCTAAACCCAATCAAATTTCAGATAAAAGTAACATTCACACAATTCAAAATTTAAGCTTGGTTATCCAATTTCAATCTATTCCTTTGCAATGAAAAATGAAGTATATCAACAACTCACACTAGTTTTTCGGCGACCAACTTTGACAGCAGCAGCCAATCTTCGAAGCTGCCAATTCTTAAGCTTCACAGGCCTTTCTTCTTCTTCTTCTTCTTCAGCATCATCTGGAGTTGAAGTAAATGCTTCCAAATCAAAATCCCCAAGTGCTTCCGCCAACTCACTTGCAAGCCTATCAACGTCTTCTTCCTTTATCTCATCATAATCATCATCATCTTCCATGTCTGAATTATCATTTTTAAGGTCTTCTTCCAGCTGACTGAACAATGCTTCGAAAGGGTCTCCATCAAAATCATCCTCGTCCACTAATTCTTTCTTCTCTTTCTTTACTTTCTTTTTCTTCACAGAAGAAGTGGTTGAAGGAGTGTTGCTCCGGCGGCGAGAGAAAGCCAGGATAGAAGGGCGAGGAGACTGACGTGGCAGCAGAACATCGAACGGTCTCGGTTGAGTTATGAAAACGCGTCCGCTGCCAAAAAAAAATGGGAAAAGCCGTAGAGCCATTGACGATTTCACTGATAAAGCAGAAGCCATGGACGCAAAAATGAAAACTCTATTATCAGAATAGAGTAGAAAAGAAGGGTTTAAGGTTTTATCCGTTGGTTGGGGCGGTGAAGAAGACTCGAATTTGGTTCGGTTTATCAGTAATAGAAAATAAAACTTGAACCGTTTAACTTAGGTAATAAATTTTTTATAATTCAATGGTAAAATTACCTCAACCGAATCACTGTAAAATGTTTAATCGTTTAAAAATAAATTAAAAATATTCTTCTATGAACATCCAATTTCTTTATTTTAGTTTTTCATTTTAACACTAATGTCACCCTTTTTTTTTATATTTCAGAACATCTTTTATTTTTATAAAAAAATTATAAAATTATAAAATCTTAAAATTGCAAAAAAAAAATTTGCATATAAAAAAACTAAAACACAAAATGTTTTTTTCTAATTTTGGTGTTAAGTTAAAGTTGACAATTAGTTGATGATAAAACAAGTAATTCTTTCAATAAATTTAAAACTCAATTTATAAAAAATATAAATTACAAAAAAGAATCATATTGTTAAGGAAAATACTCATCATTTGGTATTATTTTCAAGATTACTGTAGCAATGAGATTGCGATTAACCACCTTTAAGACCCTATCAGTATAGAGTTGAGCAATGAGTTTATAAGTCTTTTAAGAAATTAGTTATGATACTATGTTGGATTTGGAGCAAATACTTTAATCTAAAGGTTTTTCTAGAAGAGTATTAATAAAATAAAGAAGAAGTTTCAATAAAGCAAAAAAATGGGAAGAAAAACATATTAGTCACACATTTTCATTCATATTGCTCCCTTATATACTAAGCAAATTCAAAAACTAAAACAAACTTGAACCATAGATGTAGCCTCAAGAAGTGTAAATCAAAGCGAAACGTTAGCGAGGCATTAATAACAAACATGAAAAACAGCGCCAAGTAACAATTAACATAATTGGAACAAATTGGTGGCATGTAGCTTAACAAAGAAGAGTAAAACGACAGACAAAAGAAACGTTTTAAATGATATTAAAAAATAAAATGACATGCTATATTGTCGTATAGCGAAGACTTTGAAATAAACACACTAAATAAATGATACTTGAAGGCTACGTTTTACTAAGTTAATTTTGGTAAAGTTGAAACGACATAGTTTTGCATCTCCGGGTAGTTTCCTTCTACCTTCAAACATCAATTGCTTCCTGCCTTTTCTTTATTACTCTCGTTTTTCCAAATGAAGGTTATTTTTAAGCATACCCCCATGACCTTCGTATTGGTAAACTCTCAGATACTCAAGCTTCTTTTTGTTGACATTTTTAGTAAAAATATCAGCAAATTGTTCTTCTATAAGACAATACTGAATATCAATTTGATTCTCCTTTGTAGCCTCTTGGAATGCATGATATTTGAGCTTTGTTCTAGCTATGATATAAACTTTTACAATTTAACAAAAATTTTATTGAGATTGGAGGCAAAAGAGATCATAAAATTTATTAAACTTACAAATTAACCTTATAAATATATTTTTTTCAATCACCAAACCCTACAAAATAAAAAAAAATATTTATTATTTTTTTCTAAATTAACATTATCATTCTAACATTTTTATATATGTTTTGATCCAAGGTCATAACGATAAACATAGTTTGCATTCCAAAAGATAGCAATGGTTCAAAATAATCTAATAACCTTGTGATCTGCAATGAGCAAACTCCACCATTAAATTTATAATTTTTTTGACTAAAAATATGTAATTGTTAATAATAGTTGATTGATGATGGACGGTGATAGTCGTGAACAACCGGCATATGTGACTATCATGCAAGGATGTAGCCTTTAATTAAAATGTTTCCCTAATATTGACTTTTAACTTTTTTGGTGTTTTAATGAAAGATTGAGAAAATATGAATAGTTCTTTACACGTTTACTTTTAGTATTTTCTCGGTCCTCTATCAAAAAAACAATTACTCTAACATTTCAAATTTTATGATTTTAGTGTAATGCAATTTCTTATAATATAAAAATAACTTCATAAAATATTAAAATTTTTTTATAAGAGGAGAATTTAAACTTAATTTTTGTAAAAATATAAATTAATCAAAGTAAGGAAATATTTATATTTATCTCTTAACATTATACATTTTTTACATTTAAATTTTTGATTTATTAATAAATATATGTATCATCTAGTCAAAAATTTATATTTTTTAAACACTTTTTCTATTTAGTTTCTAAACACCATAATTTTATTTTGTTTAATTTTTATACTATATATTTTTATGTAATTTAATTTTTATGATATAGTACAAATTTTTTTAAAAAAATTATTTTTTCTTGATTTGTTACTTTAGTATTGTCACGTATCACTGTTACATTATCATGTTAATGTCATTGGGCACCATCGTGACATCATTTAGTATTTTATAACTGTAGAATTGAACATATTAGACGTAGGTTAAATTGTTTAAATTTTTAAAATTAAAGAATTAAATTAATCAAATTTTGAGAATATAATTAAATTAATGTAATGCATCGAAACAGGGCTAATCGGGTATTTTGACCTGTTCCTACTAATAAATACAGTTTTGTCGTCAGTCACAGCAGTTGCGCTACTCCGATACGGCGTCATTTCTCAGAATTTGAAACGCAGTTCTTGTTCCAGTATATAAGACCTCTCCGACCAGATCATCACTGCCCCTCCGTTGGTTTCTTTACCTGGTGCTTTGGAAAGTCCCTCGGTTGAAATGGCAACTACTGCAGCATCAACGGCGTCAAGGGGATGGCTGAGCAACCTCTCGTCAATGTCATCTCGGATTTATTTCTTCCTTATCATTCTTCAGATCCCTCTTTTTAGGTAAATCTCCTTTTATTTCTTTTATCCTTTTCAATTTCAACGATCTCTAGATTCATAAGCTCATATCCTAAGTTGTTTCTCAATCTGGGTATTTCTAGCTTTACTTATTCCTATGTTTTAGCATCTGGGTTTCTACTATTTTGACGTTTAGGTTGATTTGGATATACTCTTTTAGCTATATTGGTTTCTGTTTTTAGTTGCCCTCTTTTGCTTTTAAGTTGCTTGTTTTCATTTTTAGTAACTGCTGATAGAATTTATTTCGTATAGATGATTGGCCTATCTGGTTGTTCTTTGTTGAGATCTGTTTTTTCAATTTGGATTAGATAAAAGAAACTGTGAATGAGAAAGAAAGCACTGAGGAGAAGCTATGGAAAGTCAGAACTAAAGCTGCTATCGAATGGATCATGTAATAGTGTTGTTTTTATGTTTACTAGTTGTGAAGTTGACTTTCGGAGATTTTAGTCATGTGGTCAGCCAAAGCTAACTAATCAACCATCTCGAGGGATTTTTAGCATATTAAAAATTTGGCCGACTGATGAGGACTCTTAAGGTTGTTCAAAAGGTTCTCCAAGGTGCAAACTATTGTGGAACAAAGCACAATGGTGCTCTATATTTGAATCCAGTGTTATATCACTGTGCAGGTGAATCCCGCGAAGAGGTCTTGCCTTATGAATGGTATGAAAAGTCATTTCCAAAATTAACAAGATTGGCCCACTTTTTAAAAGATGTGGATTTAGTTGATGGACGGCTTGTGAATGTGAAGGATGATTCAATCATCATTGATGATCGCATTGAACATAAAATGCATACTTTCAAGTCACTTGCGAGGATCTTTATTGGGTCTCCATCAGTTCAGCTAGTGCTAAAGAAACATGTTTCTACATTTGGTAAACCTAGTGAAAGAGAGCCCATGATTGTGAATTCGTTAACCAAAGTGAGCAACATTTTGAATGTTACTGCTCAACAGAGGAAGTTGGTGCGTTTCAAAATATGTCCACAGATTACACAACACCGGATATGGACAGGTGCCCTTGAGAAAATTTTGAATGAATTGAAATCAGAGATAGATTTGTTGAATTGCCAAATCCCAAGTAAAGGAACTAAGATGGGTGGGCAGATAGTTTCTAGCTGCCTTAATTTCTTGGCTGAATCAGCTGTTTCTTATGACCCTGATTCCGCTTCATGGATGCGGCTTTCACCTGCAAAAGTTGTTGACCCTCCTTTGCACAAATGGGACGATGTTCTTGAGATGTTTACAGATCTCATTAACTGTGTGAAGAGTGAAGAGGGTTGGCTTTATCATGCAACAAAGATTGATATTATGAAAGAAGGTCTGTCTCAGATCAAAGATGTGTTAGTTGATAATAGCATTGGGTATAAGGATGCCAGGCACCAAGAAAACCTGGTACAAAAGAAGCTCTCTAAGACATTGGGACACTCATCACAGTGTTTGTTTACACTTTTATTGTATTACCTTTATGGACAGGTTAGAGATATTGAAGTGGATTTGAGTGGAGCGATTTGTGGGAATGGTTCTGAGAATAGGTTTACCTTGTGCATGGGAAGAATTCTGACTTCAAATGAGGAGAAGATGTTTTGGAGTGGGGTTAAGCAATTGGACAGGGCTCTGGGGTTATTCAAGTTTGTATGGGAAACAGCAGGTATGAAAGGGATTTTGGAGTTGCAAGGCCACTTATGGTGTGTAGGGTCTGAGGAGAGGTCGGTCACCTATCGAGGAAATGCTTTCTTTCTACATGGGATAAGTCTTGGACCAAAGATTATCTTATCAAAAACTCTATGATATTTTAAGGTTATATTGTAGGATACTAATTACTTCACATTATTCAAATCCTGGTGCGTGTTATTGATTTATTTGATATACTATTAATTTCAAATATGGTAAGCCTGTGAAGCCATATTGCCCATCATTGTTTATTTTAGATGTTTAATTGTAAAATATAGAGAAAAATTTTATGCTTGAGCTAACGATTTGAAAACTTTCGGAACTCCTTTCTCACTCTTGTCTCTAAGCAACCTGGACTGTTTGTCTACTATAACTAATAGTCTACCAAGCATCCACACTGTCAATATGCAAGAAATGACTTGTTTTAAGTTTGCTTAAATGGATGGACTATAGCAGGCCACGTAGGTGGCAGAAGTGCAGGGTGCTGCATGTATATAGTGATTAAGGAATATGAGGAGACGTTTAAAAGCTGATGTGCAATTAAAAAGATTTGAAATCTCACTAAGTTGCAACTTACCGCATGTTAGGATCCTTGTCTAGTTCTTTTCATGTTTGCTATGTGATCTATTGTTCAATGCAATACAATTTGTTTGCATTGCATCATTGGATCAGGGTTTTCTTTTTCTTGATTGAACTATGAAATTTTCATCTAAGTTTGTTATACTCTTGCAAAAGCTGGTCTTCCTATTTTTGGATAATTGATAGTTCTAGTAGTGATGTTGATATGAATTGAACATATAAGTTTAAGCATTAGGTTTGGACAACCATGCAGACTAGTAATTTAACGGACTATTGTTTGTTTGATTTAAAATGAATTGCTTCGGAGTCAGTCATAAAGACTGTCTATATAAGTTAATGTGTCAAAATCTATATAACACCTAATCTGCTGATCCTTAGATTGTTCCAAGTATTTTACATGTTTCAGACTTTTAAGATGAGTAGAACTGCAACAAACTTTGTATTGGAACTGTACTTTCTTATAGAGAAACATAATACTCCTGTTTGGGAGATATGAGATTGATGTCAAAATATAACTAAACCTAATTTAATTATACAAATGACTAAATTTGAGCTTCTTTTAGTGTTTTGAACTAATGAAGTTTTAAACATAATGGGAGTCAAATTAGCCTGCAGTTTTTAAAGGGAAAAGAAACACGCTGCAGTTCATGAAAACGTTCCTGTGTTGTCATTCTCCAAAGTGAAAATGTTTGCAATAGAAAGTAGTAGATCATTTGGTTTTGAACAGCTCAATGCTGAATGATTTTTGTCAACTTCTCTGGCAATGGATTCCGCTCAGAAGTATACCTTGTAACTAGCATCACTAGAGGAAGTTGCTTGCTTTAGTTCAGTTGCCTTTGCTGGACAATAGGCTTTTGTTCATTCATATTGTTGGAAATAGTAATGGTAATAAATGAAGACATCCCTATTTCTTTATCCACTGTCTTGTTGATTGAGAAATATATAGATGAGTAAAATATACTGGATTTGATTCCAGAATGGGGCTTCTCTTTATCAGCTTTTCTCTTTTGGCAGGATTCCATGCAGATCTGGAATTTGTTCAACACCAATTCATGTCACCTCTTCCCAGTTGATTGCAAGTGACATCTTTCCTGTAGCTGTGGTGAAGGCACTCCTCTTTCCAGGAGCCATAGCGAATGGCCTTGTCAAGAACATGACTGTTCCAAGCTGGGATAACCTGTTAAACATCTATAACTTAACTAGTATAAAAGAAGCCTCCGCTGTACCTGACCTCCAGCGCTTAGAGGTCCTTATCTTTGGCTTTATATCTTTCTAATTTTTTAGTTTTTAATGCATTTTCGGTACTAGTGTGAAGAAATCTACTGTTCTATTATTGGTAGGATCTGTAGAGAAGCATATACCTAGTCTCACTGGTCCCTTCATAAATTATTTGCAAAAGCAACACCCCAGTCCATCCCTTTTCAGAGGCAAAAAATGAACACTCACACACACCACCAGTCATCGGAATGCAATTCCATGTCATTGTTACTGGGTGGGTTAATGAAAAACTATCATGTTCAGCAAGTATGTAACTCTTCTACTATCTCCATCCTAGCACTGACTCTGCGTATGTGACAGTGTGCAAATTCATATATGTTGAATTGTTCCTTGAACCCATCTTAGTCAGTCATTCTGACTGTTTTCTTATCTTCACTAATATATATGCAATCAAATTTGTTAGCAAAAGGGAAAACAAAATGGACATCCAATAATAGGCTGCAGGATGGTTCCAGTATACTCTTCGGTACCTTGCAACTTCTGCACAAGCTTAGCTTCATATAGTCATCCAAATTTGTGTCCTTCCATAAGCCCAATCTTGTCAAAAATGATATTGTCTTGTAATCTCATCTCTTTTATCTGGTTCTCGCATAGGTTCTTGCAGGAAGCTACTTCTGTGTGGCAGGAGCACTTGTGGGTCTTCTAAAGCCTGGAAGGATGAGCATGTTTGGGACACTACTGGTAATCTGGGGTCTTGTCAAGGAAGGGATCTTGGGAAAACCAGCAAATTCCGATCCTACAAAAGCTGTGTATGTATATCCCACGATGTTGATTGCACTGATTTGTGCCTTGACATCTATCAAGTATGACGTGAAGAAAGTTATGAGAACTGCCCCTGCACGACCCATTGCAAAGCCTCTTAAGAGCTCTTCCAAATCTAAGCTGAAATAATTTGAAACTTTGTTTTCTTGTGTGAAAACCAATTTCTCAAAATTTTTAATACTAAACTCTTGTAACAAATGAGCTGACAATGTGAACCTTTTTTGCTGCTTCAAATTTATTGTGTATCTTCCAATGCCTTCTGGAGCTGCATGCCGCCATTGGAACTTTGATGGATAGGAATGGAATCTTATGTATGCATTGACACTAGTCAAGGTTTAAGGATGTTGAGCGTAATTGTATATTTGAGGCGGGCTGGCTATGATAAGGTCTAAAATCTGTAGTTTGAAGACAGTGAAATATTAGTCCGCTAGCAGGATCCTTTAAAGAAGCCGTGGTGTCAACTTGGATAGTCTACAAGAGCTCGTTCTATTTTGGTGCTTAGCCTTATTGTTTTAAGCCTCTTTCGCTTTGTTCTGTTCATCTTGTTTCGGGCTTTGATTTGAATTCCTCCCTTGGCTTCTATAACAGGTGTCTTCTTGTTATTTCTCTCCATATTAATGAAATGACAAATGTTAATAAATAATAATGCCTCTTTAGCTGCCTTTAAAAAACTTTCATCTGTGAGTTTTGCCTACATGTCAATCAACTGGATTATAATGAGAGACGTAGAACAGGAGCTTACAAGAAAAGGCCAATAAGCCATGTGAAGTTGTCATTTCTACTCAAGCGTATTGAGCTGGATGCCAGCTTTGCTTGGTTCATCAGCTTTTTGTACTTGCAAGTTGTAACCATCAAATTGTACCAAACCTTGCACTTGATGTTCTCTTTTCTTGTATAATTTATGAAATTTAAGTGAAATGAATGAGCTGCAATTGCTCAACAGATATGTTTCCAAAAAGAAAATGTCCCAAAAACTTAAAAAAGAAGAAACAAGACACTTGATTCCGAGGCACCAACTAAAGCAATTCCACTGTGACTTTGCATAAGAAAAACGCCCCTAGAGCTTTTGCAAAACTATGCGGGGTGCCAACTGTTAATGGTTTGTAAAGGATTAAAAAGGCATAAGCTTTAACAAGTTTCAACATGCTTGGTTTATAAAGTTAGACTTAAAGGGTAAAACTTTAAAAAGTTTAAGTCATTTTTTCGTGCCTTGAATTAGATAAAAAGTTTCTTTTGTCTTTGCTTTCAATATTGACCATCACAGTGTCGATCTCAACTCATCAGCTAGCTACTTAATCCATTGAATTCTACAGATTTCAAGGCCCTTGGGGCCCTTGGGTATATCTTAAAATCATGATTAAAGATGTTCATGCTCTTCTTTCATCTACCAAATGTCCATCAATTGTCTTTTCTTTGTTGCATTAATTTTCCCCCCTGCCTATTCAACACCCCTTTTGCATGCTTGCTTGAAAATTGAAAACCCATGTGGAGTTGTAAAATTTACACTTTAAATATTAATCTATTTTCTATGTACTTTTCAGTTATTACCATATATAAATTCCTTTAATCATTTAAAGTTTTTTGATGTATACATGAAGAGATGTATTATAACTCATATAGTATAAAAAGATATCCCTTTATATTAACTTTAACAATGAGATTAAAGTAAGAGTTCTTAAGTGATGCATGGGAGAATTAATTGCTAAAATCAAAGAATGACAAGACATTGGTGAAGTGTTAAAGAAAAAGTTTTGATTTCAAAGGAAGATTAATTTAATTCTACGAATTTAACCTATAAAAACTTTCGATGTTTTGAGTTAAAATCAAGGGTTTCATGTAAAAAAGAAAAAAGAAAAAAAATTCAAAATTTAAGTCATCTAGAAAAGCAAAAATCAACTACTCATATTCAAATAGAGTTAAGAGATTCATAAGTAGCCATGTTAGTTGATACTATACTTAGTTTTCATTTATTTATGGTCCCATTTGGGCGTTTTAGTAGACCAGTCATGGATCCTAAATGGAGGCAAAAGCTTCTCACATGATCCAGTTAAGAGACAGATCAGAAAGAATGTAGTTGAATAAACAATGATGGAAAATGCACTGAAAATGGGACAAAAACATGGATAAGCAGGAATTGAAAGAGCCAAAAATGTGACATGACTGTATGCAATGAACGAAGTACCTCACTTTACTAACACCATCAAAAGCAAAATGAAGTGAAGTAACATAAAGCTAAGCTTAAAGTGAAACAAAGAATATCTTGCTAAAAGCTAAGTAATGGATTGTAGTAGCAGAAACTAATGAATGTGTGGTTACTTTTTGACCAATATATACATTTTTGCTGTTAAATTAACATTTCCCTCTATAATTTTATACCCCAACCCCAAGAGGTCAATGAGGGAACCCATGAAAGGTTCCCTTTAAAAGCTTTGGAATCCTATGCGAATTATTCATCAACAAAAATCTTCTTACATTTAAGTTGGATTAGTCAAAGTTAACCCCATCCGTTAATCAAAGAAACAAGACATATATATATAATTATATGATAATTAATTTGATGGAAAAATTACACTACTTTGATTACAACTTTTTCCATTGTTCCTTGTAATGAGTACGTTGGATGTTGCAAAGTACAATATCCAAGAGTTATCTCTTCCTTTTCTAATTAAGATAATATTAATGCTTAGTTCTGAATTAATATTTAAACTGATTAGTAGGGCATTTTACAGCTCCATGAAACCAAATTACTGTCTGTTAAATGCAAGTGCAAAACAATGTGAGGTTAAATATTTGGGTTCCCGTCCTCTCTCTTGCATAAATATGAGAAAATAAACAAATAGGGGAACCTAAAAATTCTTCCATTTGAAACAATTCCATCTCTAACAAGATTGTAGAAAAGGAAATCTTCTTTCTGTGTAATGGACATTAACCTGAATCTACATTCTCTTATTTATATGGAATTGCAAAACCATGGATGGCAGAAGGAAAATATAGATGTAGCTATTAATTAATTAGCTTGTACACTTTATGTGTATGGCCCAAGTTACACTGACTTGCATTGCATGAATGTCTTATTATTATTATTATAAAGTGACTTGTCTCAACTTGAGATTCCCATCCAATCGATCATAACTCATAAGGTATAGTATTCCACTGGGAAACCATAAAGAACAAAGATTAACTAGAATTAATTAAGCAAATTAATTAGAATGTACCTACGCTTGATATAACTTTTTAAACAAGAAACAATTTCCCACTTGTTTAAATAAATTTCAGGGTGCTCTTACTGTGTTAAGCTTGATGCAATATTGAGGATTCGAGAAGCACAATATATAGCATACACGTAATATAGATGTTGCATTTCATATGTTTTGAAGCTGTACATGCATCTGACTCTCAATCTTATTAGAATAATGTCTCATCTTTCAAAGATATGATGCTCATGATTTGGACATGATCTCTTGCTAATTAAAAGGTTAAATATTCAAAAGGCCTAATTATTTGAATCAGTTATGCTACTAGTACTGCATTACTTCTCCTGCATTGGTTTAAACAAAAGATCTTATTGTGGTCCAAGAATATAACCCTTTTACTTTGCTTTGCAGAAATGAGAAATTGCTGATTTTAAGTTACAACTCAAATATTCCTTGGACCATTTTCAAACAAAAAAAGCAGTCTTCAGCAATAGATATAACAGAGAGAAAGAGAAAGAAAGAGAGAGGGGCACAAAGACACTGATATAAGATTGATACCATACAAGTACATGCCTATACTTTGATATAAGAAAGCTGACAAAATGCTAGATAATTTAGCTCAATTTCAACCGAAGTCTTCAAACACGATTCATCTAAAGATCCTGGCAGAGGAAAAGAGATAAGTAATATCTAAAGGAGGAAGAAAAAAAAAACAAAAGAAAAAGAGAGAGAGAGATAGATAGGAGCCAAAAGAGTGAACAACTGAGATTGTCTTGTCTCACTCGCTCCTGAAACTGCAGTACCTGAAATGAGAGTCATGGAAAAGTAGTTAATATTGAGAAGATAAAGTTGTGATTTGTGAGGAGAGACCAAGTTGTCACAAAAAGATTGAGTCCCATACCCAAAAATGAAAAATCTATTAGTATGAAGATTTGTTGCCGGAGTCTCTTGGTGCATTGCATCTGAAACATTCCATCCTGCTGGCAAAGTTGTGCTCATTGCATCCCGACCTGTCCAATTCCACCCAGAATGAATGAGAAATTAGTCAACTGACATATTTGGGCATACCAGGAACTGTTCATCAGTTTCCACGTCCAAGTTTTGTTATGGTTAAGCATGTAGGGTACAAACGAACATACTCTTTTCTTTTTTTAAAAAAAATAGGTCTCGACTTTGAAATCTCTCCTTTTTAATGAAAAATTAATACATTTGCCTACCAACAGGTCATGTCTATCAATAGGTCACCTTATAATCAAGTATTTTATAATATTATGAACATATTTTAAGTTTTCCTCTAAGGAGGCAAAAAAAAAAAAAATTGTGTTCACTCAATGAAATCAACCTGGTGCAAATCCAGTCCCCAGATTTCCAGCTAGAGCGACTAGAGCTGCCACTGCCAAAGCCATAACCCCTCATTCTTGGCATGTCACCTTCAAATCCTCCCGACGATTCATCTTTGGCTGCACCACACTTGAAACAGCTTGATCGGCTAGCAAAGTTGTGAGCTCCGCAGTTCCCCACTGTGCAGTACCAGTCACCAGGCCTAACATCAGGGCCAGTGAACCCGAATGACGAGCCACCCCTGCTACCCAAGCTTCCATAGTCACCTCTCTCACCGGGTCTTGGTTCTCCACAGCGCTGGCATGAGTCCCTTCTTTGGAAGTTCAGGTATTGGCATGACCTGCAATTCCAGTCTCCTGGCCTGCTCATTTTCTCTCCTCTAGAGTTGCACAAAAAAGAGGCAGATGTACAATCACTCCATCTTATAGTAAGAAAGAAAAAGCTACATCATAATAGCAACAAAGACTGAGCTGGGAAGGAGAACATTTTTTGTCTGGTTTTCGTAGTACGTTAACTAAACAAGGGAAGCACACAGATAAGTAAGTATGAAATTATCTTCCTTCAAAGAATGGAAGGCACTAAGCTATAAAACACTAATTTGAGATGCATCAGTTTCATAATGAAGCTTGGAATATATGGTAGTAACATCAAAACCAAAAAGCGCTGAGAGTGGCAGGTCTAGAAAGTAAACATGAGGCCAGGGAATGGAGTTGAACATCCGTAGCGTCTAGCTCACCTTGAGAAAGCAGCTATACAGATTGGAAGATAGAAGAGTCAGTTGCACTGAAGATACAAAGATATCCTGGAAGGAACTTGTGGTTTTTCAGTATGGGGTTTGGCTATTTATATAACCTGACTAGACCTTGAGAATCGGGCTGATTGAAGTAGTAGCTAGCCAGTGGAGGGCTTAGGTTTTCTTTTTCATATTCTTCACTTTAACTCCTTGAACAATGGAATCACAAGAAACTAAAATTGGAAAAAGAGATAAAGGAAATTTGAAATTTGATTTCAAAGGGGAAAAAAAGATTTAAAAAGCTCCAACTACAGCTCCTTTTTAGGGGTTCTAGTTGCATGTAGAGGTGGCAAGTGCATGAGCACATGCAAACAATTTCATATTAGTAACTTCCACATATGCCCTTCTTTGTGCTTGTTTTTCCTTTATACTCCCAACCTGTCAATCTTTCCTTTATGAAATATATGAAGGCTCATTGAATTGCAAGTTATTTATAAAAACTCCTTCTATCTTATATCTTGTTACTCCTTTCTTTTTCATTTTTCTAGTTTAAGTTTGAATCTAAAATTTTATTAAAGTTAATTGAATTTCAAATTCTAATTGTTTCCAATAAAGATTCTAAGCATTATATAACTTTGTTTGACAATTGTATCCTAATGTTTCTATTGCTTCAACTTTATAAGTAGCTTGATTGAATTGAAATTGTCTTCTCGGAGAGGAAAAAACCCCAGCTCAGTTGCTAATGAGGATCCAGTTCATCGGTGTTTATTGTTTATCAACAAGAAAAACATATCGAATGCATATATATAATTCATTCAGCCTTGAGCATATCAAAGTTTAGTTCTGTGAACATAAGTTGTTTCCCTGAAAGGCGAGGGAGGAAGGGTACGTAGACCTCTCTTTCTCTGGATGTAGCTAGCATTTCAGCCCTGTTGTATCTTGCTGTCCCAGTCTAGCTTATATCCAGAAATGGTCAAAACGTGTGAGCCTGCACTGGAGTCTGGCTAGTATCTATTGTATGCGAATTTGGCCTCGTGCCTTTGTTCCATTCCACCATCACAAGCCATTCAGATTGGACACTTTTGCGTTAATATTGTTGTATGTAATTCATTTACAAGTTTTAGAAGCGTCTAGAAAGACGGCAACAAGTCTATATTATACACTAATTTGCAAGCAAAGCATCAATTTTATAAGCAATCTGGAGCTCTAAACTTGAATTTGAGCTGATACAGAGTACTTTATAGGCAGAGTCAAACCCCCACCCGGCAATGTCCCTACATAAAGCAAATTTTGCATGCATTGTAACCTCCAAGCACAGCAAGCACATCCAATCTTTTTAATCTTGCGCTTGATGAACCAAAGAGAAAACTTTTGACTGTGACATGAGGGCCCTTATGTGCTGTGTTAGCTGACAGAATTAAGGTCTGTTTAGGCAGGGAGATGAGGCCTAAGTGTTTTCTTCCCGTTGAGTCAGGATTGGATAAGGAGGAACAAAACTCACTATTTCTTACCAGACAAGATGAATATTCCACAAATCTCTAAAAAACCTTAAGAGGAAAAGGCCCCTACGCATGCTTATTCTTATCTTAGAATGAACTAAGGAGGGGTCGTGTCTCCTTTCAATAATATACTTTGAAGCACCCATCCCTAACGGTCACTGTATAGGAAAATTTGGGGTTGCTTTTCAATTTTTGAATATTCCATTGTTTTGTACTAGGAACTTCGTATATTTTTCAGCTAAGTCAAAAGGGTTTTGAGAATAGCCTTTAATTTTATAAAGATGGAAATTTTTATAATATGTATATAAGTCATTAAGCTGCCATTTCTGCCCATAAACCACTATAGCTTTCCTGCAAATTGTGGTTATTCCGAAGTGCCTAGCTATTTACATCCTGCCTTTCTTTCTTTTGGAGAGGAATATCTTCCCCCATCTTTGAGCAGCTGTTGCAGTCCTGAGTGTTTGAATCCATTCTTATTCTTGTTACCTTAAATCAACTTCAAGATCTTTAAGTAAATCTTGCTCCATGTGAAAAGTTCAAAAACGAGAAGTCTCATTCATCATTGCAATCTATATATATTGTGCACATATTGCTTTACGATATATAACAATCACTTAAATTTAATCGTCTGTACGTATGAGAGAATTGCATCCAATTATACATCTATTTATATCCTGACTCGTCAAGTCAATATTTTTTTTTTCATAGGTTTTGGCTTTAATAAACTTACATCTATTTATATCAGAGTACTTGGGCTAGGGTTTCTAGGCATCAAACCTCGATTTGGCCATAAATCCAAGAGAAAGAAATATTTACACATATATTAAAGCCATCTTCCTAAAAATTGAAGAAGTTATCTAGAATTAAGAAGCACACAGAGATTTATGTGTAATATATTCGTGTCACTCGTGCATGTCAGGTTTTGGTCATTTCCATGGAGATCATAGCCTAAGACGTAGCCGAGGTTAAAGCTAAAGTTGCATGGCTATAATTTCAAGGAACGTTAAAAAGCTAATTTTCCATATTATTTTATCACACCTTTGGTTGAATCTATTGAAAGATGAAGGAGAAGTTTTCCCTTTGATGAGTATAGCATAATATTTTGATGGGGGAGGAAAAGATGATTAAGCAGAATAGGTTCAAAATTAAAGAAAGGGAAATGGTAGAGTTTCGATAAAGATAGTCGAAGCTGATGATGGAAGAGAAGTCTTCGAGGTTCAAATTTTGACCATCTTTTCTTTTTCTTTTTCTCTTCACTGCATTGGCTTTTTCACTGTCATTTTCTTTTCCCCCTTCTCATCCTATCATATTTATTTTCTTGTTATTTTTATTTTGCTCTCTTTCTTCCAAGCGACAAGGGTGAAGGAAAAAGAAAAGGAAAAATGAATGTAAAAAACCGCAGAGAGAGACCACCCACCATTTTCTTGGGGAATGGTAAAGAAGGCTGTAGCAAACTGTGAAAAAGCAAAAAGAATGGGGACTGATTCGATTCTCTTTGGGAAATGCTTCCATGCATGGCCAATCACCCAAGCCAATACACCTAATAACCTAATCCTATACTTTCACTTTTTAATTACAGACACACATTTTTCCACCTACTACACAATTCCATTTTATGCTCTCCTATTATATCTTTATATTGAGTAACATGACCTCGTCCTTTTTGTTCTATATATACTACATAAAGCCTACCCATGCATAATATATGTAGTCCATTTAAATGTTTCATTTTAAATTTTACAAAGGGTTCTTTTTGAAATTATATTCAAAATAAAATAATGTATATTTGATTAATATAATTTAGGTACGTAAATTTAAATATATAAAAATATAAAGAGTTTTATAAATAATGCTTCCGATTTTTTTCATCAATATAAAGACAAAAGAGAGTTTACCATAATAAGTGTGCATACGTTGAGGATTTACTACTCATATAATGCAAGATTGTTGTACTTAACTTATTTAATATGTATATTATTATTATTATTATTATTATTATTATGATTGAACCAAGTTATATGACAATGGAAAAGAGAAAGAAAGAAGTACTAATGTGAAGCTAGAGATGATTTAGGATTGTGGAAATATGGGTTGCATGCACGTGAGGTGTTAGAGGGAAATGATGTCAGATGATAATAATGATAAAAGTTTGTTCTTTTTTTTTTTTTTACTTTTTAGTCCTTCAACATATGCTATAGCATTTTCTTACATAGTGGTTATTTTTTTTCATATAAATTTTATATTTTACTTCTTTTTCACAAAAAATAATGATGTGAAATATTCAGTTAGTTTATTGTAGAAATTTATTTTTATAATTCTTTTATTATTTATTTATTTAATTAAAAAAAATTTGAATATTGTTTTTTTTTTAATTTTTCTCTCACTTTCTCTCTTCACTTTCCCACTCTTGTCTACCAAATCAAGCAAGTATTTTACATAAGAAGAGAATATAATTAGATTCGAAGTTCTCTTTCTTGAACCTCCTAAAACTGTAAATGGAACAATTATCTTTAAAAAAAAAAAACTTTGTAATGGATTCATTATTGGTAAAAGATTTATAAAAAGCTATCCAATCATATTAGTATAGCAGAACAAAATCAGCAGGTTGACTTGTTCCATGTATAAACAAGAGATGCACCAGACTTTGTTGCCATTTGGATTGCCCACAAAACCCATCAATCAATATTAATTACACCACTATACTTCAATCTCACTACACCGTTCCAATCCTTTGAAATTATTGTTCTATTATAAACACAAGTCAAAAAATCTTTCAATTACATTTTTTTTTCTAATGAGGAGAGAAAGTGAGAGAAAAGTCATAAAAAAATTAAAAAAAAGTTCCCATTGTTATTAAATATGGACATATCTCAACTATATTAGATCATTTCAAAATTAAAGTAAATTTGATAAATGATAAATGTATTTTCCACATTCTATATATTTCAAGATTTATCTAAATGTGGATATGATCTAGATGATAATATGGGATTTATCAAGAAGATAATATAATTTAGAGATATATCTTAATAGAAGATTATAATAGTCATTGATATGTAAGAGGCTTCAACTATAAAGAGTATACTCAATATCTCTCTTTTCTTACTATTTCTATTATTTCTTTTACAACACAAATGTTTTTTTTTCTTTTACAACATAAATGTTTTTTTAATTAAACAAACAAAAAACAAAAGAATTGTCAAAAAAAGTTTTTATTATCTTTTTACACAAAATTAACTGAAAATACAAAAAAATAAAAGAATTATAAAAAAAGTTTTTATTATCTTTTTATAAAAAATTAACTGAAAATTTAACACCATTATCCTTTGAAAATAGAAGTCACACATAGAAGTAAAACATAAAGTTTTATGTAAGAAAAAAATAACCTTATAGTGCTATATGAGAAAATGATATGCCATAAGGGGCCTATGTGATATTTATCCTTTTTATTATAATGCTTCAACTTCATTCCTCATCTTCTAGAACTAAAGAGGA